ACTTGAGATGCACTTTTTTCCTACATTTTTTGACATTATGATTCACTTAATAGTGCATCTAGTAAGGGAGGTAAAATTGTGTGGCCCTATTTATTTGCGATGGATGTACCCAGTTGAGAGATACATGAAAATATTGAAAGGGTATGTCAGAAATCCATTTCGACCCGAAGCATCGATAGTTGAGAAATATGTTGTTGAAGAAGCTATGGAGTTTTGTTCTGATTACTTGTCAAGTACAGAATCAATTGGACTTCCTAAATCTCATCATAAGAAAAGGCAATATGGTCAAGGCACACATGGTATATCAAAGAAGAGCATGAATCATGATGAATTACAAGAAGTACATTTATATATCTTGAATAATATTGATGAAGTTAAAGATTACATATCTTCTCATAAAGAACTTTTAAAGGCAAAAAATTATCGAATGAGAATGACAGAACAAAAGTTGTTAAAAGAGCATAATAGGACTTTTGTGAATTAGTTTAAGCAGAAAATTTTGAATGAAAGTGGTGTTTCTGAAACAGTTAAATGGTTGGCTGGAGGTCTTAACTTTGATTTTATATGTTGGAGTGCCTATGATATTAATGGGTATTCCTTTTATACAAAGTCCTTGGATAAGAAGAGTACGGTGCAAAATAGTAGAGTTATGATAGTGGCTGAAACCGTATACTTCTCTAATTCAAAAGATAAGAAACCTAAACTAGCATCTAGGACTTACTTTAGGATTATTGAAGAGATTTGGGAGGTTGATTATACAAAATTTAGAGTTCCTGTTTTCAAATGCAAGTGGGTTGACGTCAATAGTATTCGTGATGATAAGTTTGGATTTATAATGGTTGATCTTAAAAAACTAACTTTTGGAGATGAGCCATTTATTATGGCAGACCAAGCTAAATAAGTTTTCTATGTCACGGATCCAGCAAATAAAAATTAGTCAATAGCACTTAAAGGAAAAAGGATGATTGATAGTAATGACGATCATGAATCAAATTTTGATATTTCTGAAACTCCTAACTTCTCAAGTGGGCTACCAATTTTGGATGTGGTAGTTAAAGTAGATGATGAGCATGCCATAAGAAGTGATCACCATGAAGGGATATGGGAGAATATCCCTATATGAGTTTAGTTTTGAAATTAAAGTATGTTAATTTAGTTCAATTAAATTTATGTTGTGGGATTGTTTTTCTTAATTATCTTATCTTTGATTTTTTTAATTAATTTCATTTATTTGAATTAATAGGAATATGGAGAATTAAGGTGATGACACTTAGAGCTAGCCCACTACAAGCCAATCAATTGGTGATGTTACTCCTAGTGGGGAGCTGAGTTAGGGCACCCCTAGTAAGGAGCAGAGTCAGAGCCAGTCTGTGAAGAGGGGGAGACGTGGCACACGATTGAGAGATTTAACTTTAAGTAGGAGTGTTGGGCGTAGGTTACCAATTCAATTTGACCGGAGATGGAATCCGATAGGGCCACATAAAGTCAAGTTTGTTAGTTTTCTTGGCCTCCTATCGCGTACCAAGCCTCCTATTGTGTTTGAGGACTAGCCTGATGTGCCAGAACATGTGAAGGAACAGATTTGGGAAAGTATTCAGGTAAATAATTAAAAATTAAAATTTTTTTATGGTTATATATTATTGGGCAATTATTGATTATTATCTTATGTCTTCATTGTGGCTCACATACGATGTTCTATCTAATTAAGATTGTCGACACAAGTTGATTTTTTACTGTGGAACACGTTGGAGAAATTTTAAGACTGATCTTGTTAGAAGATATATCTTTATTGAGGTGCCAGAGGGTCAGGCTCATCCCAATCCTCTTGATACATACCAGTTCCTTAATGAAGATACCTGGGAAGAATTTGTCAGGATTCGGACTTCTGAAAAGGCTTTGGTTTGTTGATTTTTAATTTATTTAAGTTTTATTTAGATTTACTTCAATTATAAAATCTAAAATCAATTTATTAACAGGAAAAATGAGCTAAAAGGCAAGAAATTGCTCGGTAAAATCAATGCCCCCACACCCTATCTCATGGAGGTTATGCTAGAGCTGATGATATACTGATGGCAGAGAAACAGAAGAAGAGAGAAGAAGAATCCAAGTCTGATCCTTCCATACTCCTTTCTTCACCATCACCTATCTCTCGAGAGGAGAAATGGAGATATGGACATTAGTACAAGAAAGGAGGCTATACAAGTGAGATAGCACGGGAGATTACTGAGAGGATTGTAAGTAAAATTATTATTCCTTGTCCCTTTAAATTTCTATACAATTGTATATATTATTAATTAATATTGTTATTTTTATATTATAGGATGCTCTTAAGGAGCAACAAGCCTAAAGAAGCTTCATTCCAGAGGGCAGAAATGATATCTTAACAGTTGCCATAGGCAAGCTAGAGCATCCAGGTCGTGTGAGGGGCGTTGGATATGGTGTAAGCATTAAGGACTACGTTGGAGCACCTGCACGTCCCAATTCAGGAGATGTAGTGACTAGAGAAGAGCTTGATACATTGATATCCACTGTGAGGCAGCAGACTAAGGATGAATTTGAAGCTTTATTTGTAGCTCGGTTTCTATAAATGAAAGAGCAAATGAAGGAGGAGATGATGAGCATGATGAGCTCACGACAGGAGACAACTGCTGAACTAGTTCATACGTCTCCTGCATTTCATAGTACAAAAGGGAGTAATGTTCTTGAGCGTGTGTCAGAGGGTCCTTCTGGTGACAACATTGGTGAACCCTGTGAGATATTTCTAGAAGATCCTGATAAACGCTTGGTTGCTCTTGGTAGCATCTACAGCTTGGGGTCAACCATCCACCACAAGCAAATTCAAGATGATTAAGTAAGAGTGGTGGTTGCAGATCTAAAAATGCTAGATGCTTTGGTTCTATTCCTTACTGATGAGGTGAAGACTGTGGTTGAAGCTGTTGGCAATTTTATCCTATGGCCCAAGAGACTTGTGAATTTGGTTCAAGCTGTGGTACGAAATTTCATGAATTTTTATTACGTAGCAACTTCCTAATATATGTTTTTTATTAACTATTTCTTACCTTTTTATTATGTAGAAGCTTTTCTCGCCGAATCTCTTAAAGCTTCCACAACCTTCGTTGACTTCGCATTAGCGAATAATCTTAATGGCGTATGATTTATCATTCGAATTCAAGAGTTTAGAAATGGATCTGGAGGTTGTGGGTAAGAAAGACATGATAGTGACAATTGAACGGGAAGATTTGGTTTGACTTCTGTCGAATAATCAGCTTACCACACCACACATTGAACTATTTATGATGTAAGTATATTTTTCTTTAATATAATTGCATTATTGTAAGTAAACTTAATCATCAAGTTTAGTAAACTAATATAATTGTATTGTTATAGGTACCTTCATAATTTGTGCATTACATCGGGCAAAGGTGATAAGTTTGGATTCCTTTGCCCTCATCACATGACAGAGAAAGGTAATACTCCAGAGTTAAGGATTGTGAACCTCCAACAGAGAATATGTGAAGTTAAAAAGGATATTTTTATGGCTCTATATATGCACTCGTAAGGTTCAATTTATAATTAATAGTTTTTCAATATGGATTTACTTTAACTTGTATTATATTTAGTAGGGACCATTGGTAGTTATTTGTTCTTTCAATGAAGAGTAACACTGTTGTCTTTTTATGCTCCCTCCATTACAAACTTGGGAAAGAAATGAAGAAGACGATAGACTTGTAAGAATACTTTTACTAAACTATTTAATTTAATTTTTTTTAATATTTTTACTAACTCGGTAATCTTGATCATAGGGCAATGAGAACATATCAAAATGTAGTCTTACAAAAGTATGGACATGAGCTTAAGGAACCCACATGGATTGAGCCAAAGATGATGCTATACTTTATTAATATGTTCAATTATTAAGATTTCTTATTAATTTTTTATGATTTGTTCTTATACAGAGTCATAGACAATCAGTGAAGATGAACTTATGCGGTCTATATGTCATTAGACACATGCTCAATATTATCACATTAGGCATAACCGAATTTACAAAAGAGGTAAATATATTTTTAAAATTTTTATTTTATTATGTTATTTCAAATTGATTAATATGCCTATTTCATGAATCAAATTTTAGATGTTCGACAATTCGAATGCATTTTTTGAAGCTGAAATTGAAGACATCTGCATATGTTGAGCAACCTATTTTGTGGAAAACTTGTGAGATTTTTTGTTACTTTTGGACATGTTTTAATTTTGATAGTTGAAACAATTTAGACAATTATTAGTTTTTCTAATAGTTAAATAGTTTTGTATAGTTGATAAATACTTGATAAATAATTGTAAATGAATTGAGCTGTCTGATTTGGCAATTTTTATACATAGGAATGGCAATTTTGACAATTTAGACAATTATTAGTTTTTTTAATAGTTAAATAGCTTTGTATAGTTGATAAATACTTGATAAACAATTATAAATGAATTGAGCTGTCTGATTTGGCAATTTTTATACACAAGAATAGGTAAAATCGATAAAAATAATATAGTATAAAAAATAAAATACTTTTTACACCGGTTATTATCATAACCATTGTAGAATATAATATTTTTTACATCAGTTATGGTAATAACCGGTGTAAAAAGTACTTTTTACACCGGTTGGGCTTTTTACACCGGTTGGGAGCCCAACCGGTGTTAAAAGTTAAAATAAATTTTTTTATTTTCTTGTATATAATTTTTAATATTGACTTTATAACTGATGTAAAAAATTTAATTTTTACATCGGGTTTATAACTAATGTAAAAAGATGGACTTTTTACACCCCATGAAATAAAATCGCCTCTTTAACCGCTGTAAAAAGTCATTTTTAACCGCTGTAAAAAGTCATTTTTAACCGCTGTAAAAAGTTATTTTTGTACTAATGTACAACCAGTACTATACTCTTTGCTCAAATTAGCATAATGCATATGGCAAGTTTGGAGTCTTTGTTCTTTTCAGCAATAACTCTATAAGATAGCTTGTGAGTAGTTTTGCTTTTGTTTTTTTATTTTTCTCTTTGTAGCACACTGATTCTACAACCATCACAACCATAATACAACTTTTGGATCCTTTTGTAAAGCAATTCTAGAATAATTGTACATATTTTTTGTGGCATGGTCCTTTTGCTTTGCTTCAATGTAGATTTCTACCCAACTCTGCTAGCAACATCTATCCTGGAGCCAGTCAATATAAAGCAAATCAATTGCCATCCTTATCCATTTATAGCTTTACATTATCTTTTTTATTTTGGGAATATACGTCAAACTACTCTTGCTACATATATTTTGTCAAATGTATTTGAGTGAACCAATCAACAATATCAATATTACTGCACTATGAAAAAGCATCAACTAAATTGAATCTCTTGCTAAATTATTTATTAGAAAATTCATTTAGTCAAATAAGATATGAAGGAAATGGAGCTATAAATATGCCCAAAAAAAAAAGTCACCAACTTTGATTTTCTTACCATTTAAAGCCGATCTTTAATTGCATAAACAAGGATATATTGTTTTGCTATCAATTTAGTTAGTCATTGTGTGCTTGAAATTGCCATGACTAGCAATTGACAACTAATGAACTTGATTTTTTTTTTTTGGAAAATATCTCAATGAGAAAATCCTGTGCCACAAAGTAACAATCACTAATGTAAAAAGAGGTTTTAACGACACACTTTTAACCACAGTTATATAAGCAACTATGGTTATAATAGAGTTAATGGCAATTTCAATAAATAAATATAGAAATTGTATCATAATAATGACAGTTGATACACATAACTGTCATTATATATTAATAAATTTATTTTTTAAATTCTAAATAATATATATATATATATTAATTATTAAATTATTTAAATAAATTAAATAAATATTAAATGATTTCAAATTTTAAATAAATTAAATTATATTGTAAAATATTAATAATTTAAATATATAACGACAAGCCACTATTGGCCTATCGTTATATTATCAAATTTTTTCATAAAAAAATTATTTTTGTTTATTAAATTAAATAAGATATTCTTTTATTAAACAAATTAATGATAAAAAGACAAGAACATTAAAACATGTTGGGATTTTAAAAAAATATTTAAGAATTAATGACACGCCATTAATGGCCTGTTGTGATATGTACAAGAAAAAAGAAATTAATTACCCTAAAACGAATTAAATATAAGTATTACGAATTAATTATTTCAAAACGTATTAAAAACAAAAAAAATAACTCTGTATAATAGTTATCATGATAGGACATTAAATACCTGTTGTGATATCTGTGTTGAAAGAAAGAAAATGAAAAATTGTCTTGTTCTAGCCAATAGAAGAACAAAGTAAACGTCCTTCATTGGTAGAATTGGATGAACTTTCCCTGACCATGCTATTAGCTGAAATGAAAGATTGAGATTTTAGATGTTAGAAGAGACATCAGACAGAACAATAGACACCTCAAATCTTATGAAAATTAAATCCATGTTGAAATTCTAAAGTATGAAACTTGTGTGTGTCAGGAAGATACACAGTAAGTAGAGGAAATCATAAGAACTTGAGACGTGTAGAACGTGCTCAATCACTGGTCAAGAAAATCCCGAGTATAAAACATGAGTGACTTAATTCATTAATAAACCTGCACCTGGCTTACATAGTACATGTTGCTAATTAGCCCGACGTTTTTTAAATCCTTTTCAGCTTTGGTTGATTTGCTTGTGCATATGACTAGGATCTGGGAAGAAGAAAGAAATAAAGTTTTCTTGTATGATCAAGTAAGATAATGAACCAATCCTCGATTTGGTATTCACTATTTATGATTTTTCCTTCACTTAGATTGATAAGTTATGTGCTTGAAAAGAATACACCAAACAAGAGTTAACTAATATATATCTAAAGATTCCCCTTAACTAGGCGCATTAATTCAGTGATGCCTTAGACTAGTAGTTCCTTAAAGACATCTGATAAAACTAAAATGATACCAAGATGTCTTAAATTAAAAGTGATGCTATCACAAACAGCCAATGTGGCTTCCTATGTTCAGATGTGGCAATTTGTCTTTCACAAATAACGAAAGTATTTTATTTTTTTTATTTTTTGGTTACTTAATGACAAACTTACTTCCCCAACCAAAACAGAAACAAACAAACAGAAAGAAAGAAGGCCCAAACCTTATAGCATTTAGAATTTGGAATCTCCATTTTAGATTTAGATATCCCTATTGAAGAGTTTTCATCATGACTAGATTTTCTTTGTTTCATTAGAAGGCTCGATTTCTTGAGGCGAGAGCAAGAAATGTTTAGAACAGTTTTTAATTGCAAGGTTATGAAATTTTCAAAATTTCTTCCCTTCAATTCACAAGAGGAGGCATAAACTTATTGCAAATTTTCTTCTTCTAAACAGCACGGCAATAATCTATAAGATTCAATGTTCCAATAAAATAAAAAGTCAAGGACAGAAGTGTAACTTGGATTACAATAAGTTATTCTATAAAGCAAAATAAGTTCTATTATAAAGAGGAGAAAAAACAAGGTTTGAGGTAAAAGGACAAACAAATTCGAAATTGATACTGAAAGTGAATGGAAATACTAAAGCGAATAATTGGGTTACAGAGAAAGAAAACAAACACACCTGAATTTGAAGGTATGGAACTACGGATAAATACTGAAAGTGAGGCAATAATTGGAAATACGGATAAAGGCTACCTTGGCGACAATCTGACGGAGAAGGCCCAGATGGAGATACAGAACCCGGTGACAGTGACGGCGCCGATGAGGGAAACGATGATGGAGCTCTAGTTTGAGAAACTCTTGAACCCGATAGCCAAGCGAACGCCAAAGTCGGCCTAAGCTGTTACTAAAAATTTAATTAAATCAAAAAATGAACGAACAGTTGAGATTAAAACGCAATTGAACGGCAGGGATTCTCCATTTAATTAAACTGTGCGTTTCGGTGGATGAGCACCGTCATCATCCGCTGAGTACCGAAACCGAACGCTGTCAACACTAGAGATTGGGAGGTTTGGATCGGATGTGGGAGGAGTGTGTGGGTCTTGGAGCAGACGAGTGAGAGTACCATCAGGATCGGGGACGATATGGAGGAGCTGGAAAGAATCATGGCATTCTGACAAAGCGATACAGTTGAATTGAAGAGTAGTCGTCCAGGCTTGCTTTTTAGTTTCCTTTAGATGAAGATTGTTGATTTAAAATATAAATATTTTTTAATTAATATTAGTTTAAAATATAAATAATCTAATATATATAAAAATATATTTTGCATTTACTTTTTTTTATTTATTAGCATAATTTTTTGTAAATTTATGTGTCATGCATTGGAAATTATAATTAAAAATAAAAATGATATAGTTTTATGAGAATGGAAATTTTATTAATATATAATTTTTTAAAAAAATTATTTAAATTTTAAATTGGATGGAATATTAATTAGTATCCGCAGCAAAAGCTTTTATCAATCATTGGAAAGTAAATTTCAACGTACAATAAATTAGTATATCGTAAGCACAAACAACATGTTTATTGCAGTGTGCACAAACTTTTTTTTTTTTTTTTCAATTAAAGAACAGACATTAATAGCCTAAGGCTACAAGTAAGATCAAATTGGTGACCTCTCATTTATAAGAGAGTTTTCATATTATTAGACTACAAGGCTATTGAGGTGTCCACAAACTTGACAATGGCATTCATGCACTTTCATAGAACTGATAATTCTGGCCAAACCCAACGGGTTAGCCCGAATTGGCCTGAAAAATTTTAGGGCCGGGTTTAAAAAAAAAAAAGATGTTTTTTATGTTCGGACCTATTTGATCCGGTCTGAATAGGCTCGAAAAAATTCGGGCCGAGCCCGATCAGGTTTGGGCTTGGCCCGAATACTCGAATAAAACAATTATATTTTTAAAAAATATATAAAATATAATAAATATTAATTAATTCTTTAAGTTTTAGATAAATTTATACTAAAATACCATATATTTGAGTCCTAGATATCGTTTAAGTATTAAAAAATATATTTTATATTTTTTATAAAATAAAATAATTAATTTTAAAGTAAAAAATAATTAAAAATAATTTTAAAAATTAAATTCGAGTATTCGGGCTGCCTAAAGCCCGAAAGAATTCAGGTCGGGCTTGACTATTCGGGCTTTTTAAGGAGTCGGCCTGTTCAGGTTCGGGTCTATTCAAGTCGAGCCCGAATAAATTCGGCCCGCCTGAATTTCTACACTTTCGAATCACAGAAATTGTAGACAAAGAAATAAAAGGAGTAAAGCTTTTTCAATGGAGAGTTGTCTGACTTTCTGAAACATGTAACTAGGATAAATTCCTGAGCCATGTGTATATATGTGGAAAAAGTATTTTTATAAAAGAAGTCAATCCTTTGAATGAAATCTCAATACTTTTTTTTTTTTTTTTTTGACTAACGAATGAAATCTCAATACTTCAAGAGATTAGTCTTTAGCCCAGGTCTATTGGAAGATACACCGGTTAAAGCGGGGAAAAAAAAATGGTAAAGCTTTAATTAGGCTTTGGATCCACGTAATGAGAATAAAAAATAATATATACTGTCGACATTTTTTAAAAAATTAAATATTAAAAAAAATAAAAAGTATTTTTAATCTTTTAAAATATAATTATTATTTTTTTTAAGTGTTCTATTGATTGTGATTTTATATTTATTATAAAATATTTAATAGAGATAAATAAAAAAAATAAATTAATTTAAAAAAATAATTATTTTAATGAGAGATAAAATTTAATAAAAAATATATTTTATATTTTTAATGAAGAAAGTATACTCCACGATGTTGTCAATTTCAAGATGCCCGAATACTTGGCCGATCGAATCTTGACGCTGGCACCAAAGATATGGAAACATGGAGATGATTAAGATTTTACCTCAATTTGAACCCCAAAAATAAAAAAAGATTTTAGCTCGATTAATGAAAAAAAAAAGTAGGCCTTTTTTATACATTGCAAATTCTTCAGTATTTATTATAAGGAAAATGAAATTTTTTATTTTTATAATTTTATTGAGTTTTGTTTTTAATACCTATTTTTTTAAAAATGTTCTTAATCCCCATAACTAGTTTCAGAAATATTGGGTGATCTTTATTTTTTAGATTCTTATACTTTCAATTTTTCAGTGATTTTAGTCTTGGATTAAAAGCACAAAAAAAATAACAGGGACTAAAAGCAAAATTTGATAAAACTATAAGGACTAAAAATTATATTTTTCATATATTATATGCTATAAATAATATATAAAGATATTTGAAATAAAATTAGCATAAGCAAAATATAATGTATATGTTCTCTTAAAGCAAAATAAAAACGTAACCAATCCAACTTATCTTCTTATCAAGACGGATCCAGAAATAATTATATGGGAGAGCCAAAATGCAAAATTACATGATAGTGGGGCCATAATTAATTTAAGCATTTTTTACGAGTAAAAATTAAGTAATTACTAATTTTTATAAAATTTTTGTGACATGCCTACTTGCCCCTCGTAAATTAAGTATAAAATATACAAGCAAATATAATGGTAAAATAGAAACCCAAATAACAAAACACAGACAAGTGACAGGAAATATAAAGGCATTTGATGTAATAGAAAAGAATACACAAGATCATTGAATTGGAAACCATTCATATTATTTAAATTTCATTTGTCTAAGCAGAAGATAATAAAGAACAAACAAAAGTCTTGATCATTGAAAAGAGCTCTTTTTGTTTAAGAGGACTACGCAGTTCAACCCCATAATTAAACCCTGGTTCAAAACTACCCTTCCCTCTCACTCCATTTTCTTCCATCCACGTCACCATCTCTCTCTGACGATCCACCAGTGGGTCCCCCTCACACCCAATCACCATCACCCTCCATCCAAGCCCCATCATCTTCCCCACTTTCATCTTCTGCGTCATCTTCTCTCCCAGCCGTTGGATTGCGGTACTCATGATCACAGTCCGATCCAACGGGCAACGACAACTCCCACATCAAGTCACTGACGCACAGCGGCAACACCGGTTCATTCACCAGCCTCAATTCCGATCCACACCTCTCCATCCCACCCACAAATGGCTGCACCAATATCATCCCTCTGATCTTCAACGCTTCCAAACGTTCCGGTTCCGCAGCTGCACGTAGACCCGCGTGGTACGCTATATTTTCCTCCGCGCTACCGCCCATGAGGAAACAAGAGTAATCGGCGTATTCCGAGTGCCAGTCATCTTGGTTGGTTTGGATCCAGTGCAACGCTTGCATGGCATCCTCGTACGCCTCCGGCAACCGATGCTCCGGAGCAAGACGATACCCCAAGGATGCAACAATGATGTGGACATCGTCGGCCATGTTTATGCAGAAGTCATGAAACATCGATGAGGCTGAACTGAATAAGATGAACCCACCACCATGGAAGTATAAGATCAGAGGTAGCTTCGGAGAGGAATTATCCAGTGCTTTCCGAGGCAAGAAGATTCTAACATAGACGTTAAGTTCTTGGCTGATCGTGATATCTTTGGTCAGAACAGAAATCGGAAGGTTAAGATCTGACGCCGGTGAAATGGGTGGGTCCAAGCGCAGGCGCGTGAAGGTGCCATCGTGATTGAGAACTACCTTGAGGTGCTTGTGGGGATCAAGACTTTGGTCTTCTTCTTCCATCAAACAACCTCTGTGCTTCGACTCAAACAAACATCATTGGCATCTTAAGATACGAAGAGGACCTAAAGGTATTATTCGAACATAAAAATAAAAACAAATTAAACTACTTAATCCACAATGAATTAAAATAAAAAAAAACCTACGCCACTAATGGCGTGTTGAATAATTTCTTTAAAGTGTCATACAGCTCCAAGGCTTTCCCTTGCGTAGGCTGGCCAACGAACGCTCCATGCTTGTCCTCACCCTGAAAGTGACTCTCCACTTGTGCACCATTTTCTTGTAATGGATTCACCAGCTTTATCTGCCGGTCAACAAGTGGGTCCCCATAACTTCCAAACACTATAACTTTCCATCCAAGCCGAGTGATATTATCAAAACCCTTAGAACCTCTCTCGGCCGTCGGATTGGAGTACTCGTGATCACGATCAGCCCCTACGGGCAGCGAAAGCTCCCACATGAGATCAGTCGCGAGCAGTGGCAAAATCGTGTCATTTGCGAGCCTCTGTTCCGAAGGAGTTCGCCTCACTCCGCCGAAGAATGGTTGAATCAATATCAGCCCTTGGATCTTCACCGGTTCAAGTTGATCGACTTCCGCGGCTGCACGTAGGCCCGCATTGCAGGCGATATTACCCCCTGCACTCCCCCCAATGAGATAGCATCTGGAATAATCAGCAAAACGTGTCAACCACCGATCCTCGGAGGTTTGGATCCAGTGCAATGCTTCCAATGCATCATCGTACGCCGCCGGCAGCCTGTGCTCGGGAGCGAGACGGTAGTTGACTGAAACGATGACGGATTGGGTGTTTTGTACCAAGCTTACACAGAAGTCATGGAAATAAGTTGAGTTTGCGGCATAGAAGATGAAGCCGCCACCGTGAAAGAAGACAATGAGGGGCAGCTTGGTGAGGGAAGATCGGGAATGGTTGAGTGCTCGAAGAGGAAGGAAGATGCGAGCCCAGGTGTCACGTGAAGGATTGATGGTGAGATCTTTGGAAAGAACAGGAAGATGAGGGTTTGGATCTGGTGCGGCAGGAGACTCGGGGTGTTTTTCCAAGCGAGTAAGAGTACCGTTTGGATTCCGGATTATGTGGAGGAGTTGGTAAGGATCCATGGTGGTTGGTGGAGGTCCCGCGACGATGGTGGTTGAAAATGCGACGGAGAGATAGTAGAGAGAGAAGGCGACGGCGGCTATGCTGAAGAATCTGGGTGGTGAAAAAGACAAGAGAGACATGAGTGAAAACACAGTGGTGGGACTGGGACTGAACTGACAAATTGTTTTCTATGTTATCGAAGGACACATACATGCCGTTTTGCGCGCGCGCGCGTAGAGAGAGGGGAAATATATATTGATTTTGCACATGATTAGATGCAGTGAACATGTAAGGAGTTCGTTAATAATAAACTTTTAATAATAAACTCTTCTTCATACAAGTTTGATTTTAATGATCTGGATCATATAAATTAATTTTAAGATTTTATTTTTATATTTTTATTTTATCTTTATTATAAAAATATAAAATTTTAATAAATCTATCTTTTTATTAATTTGAGCAATATAAATTTAATTTAGATGGTCCAATTTAATATTAAATTTTTTTATAATTTTTATAAATTGACTATCTAGCTGTACTCTATATAATTTAAATTCAAAATTTTTAAATTACAATGCTTTCTTAATTTTTTAAAGTGCCAATTTGAATATTATCTTTATCTTCATTTTTTAATATTATATTTACTAAAATAAAAATTTATAAAAAAGTTTATTATTAAATTTAGATTGTTCAAAATATATCTAAATAGTTAATTTATAAAAATTATTAAAAAATATAATATTAAATTAAATTATTTAAATTAAATCTGTATTATTCAAATTGATAAAAAAACAAATTTATTAAAATTTTATAATTTTTTGTAAGGGAAAATGACAGAAAAAATTTAAATTATGTAAAATGACATATTAGTCTCATGAAATGACATAATTTTCTTAGAATCCCATGAAATTTTTTTATTATTAGAAAATTAAAT